AGAATCCTCTCAAGTCTTGAATCTTCACCCATGCTACTACATTGGGGAGGGTCTCTAGAGTCTAAACATAATACCAAATTTTTATCCATAATTAGGCTTAGTGGAAGGTGTTTTGGGGGACAAAAAGTCGCACAAATTCCACCTTGTTGGGTCCCTTTGCTTTGAATTTTCATGCCTTTTGTATTATTTCAATTAATTTAAAATTCTTGTTGTATCCCTCCTTTTCCTTTCTTTTCTTTTATTACCAACCGAAAGAGATTCATTTCCTTTTCTCTCCAACCGCCAAAAAACTATTCATATATAACCATAGGTTGAGGAAAAAAGTCTATGGACTATGGCACAATCAACATATCATGTCAATACAATAGTACATGATTGAGAAACTATATATTAGTTATTCTCTTTTGCGAACATCCTGATTTTCTTTTCATAAATTGTGAATTCGCAATTCTGCCATCAAGATGTGTTAAAATAAAAAAAAATGTAACATATATTCTTGATGCAAGAAATTTGGTTAAAATTTTATCTTTCAAAACATTCCTGTTGTGAGGAGATTTTACCTAAAATTTTTCAAGTAATTCATATGGAGACAAATCTTCGGTCTAGCGAGTATTTCAAATCACACATAAACTTAACGTATATACATGTTATATATAATTCTTTTATCATTTATTTTAATAATCGACATAATAACTCATAATATTTTAAGATTCTTTCTCTTTCTGTGTATTATTAAATGAGCAAATAAATGACGCGGGAAACATTTGTAACTTGAAACTTCTTGTCAGAATCATTGTACCACCAAAAAGCTAAGTGGAAAATCTGGCTACAAAAGTCCCTTGGTTTTGACTATAAACACTTAATTAAGTTGGTCCTAAATGGTGGATCAATGTAGATTTATTCTCTTTAATCGAAAACATATAATGATTTTTTCACCTAATTTACCTGCCTATTAGATTCTTGTTGGTTTCTCAATAGGCAGCAAGAAATGTAGTTGTTTCATTTACCCACTTAACTCATTGTGTCTTGAATGTTGGTAAAGTTGTATTCTTACATGTGGCTTTAAAATTTTGAAGAAATTTCCAAATAAATAAATAAAATACTACGATTCCATTTACTCTTTTGCTAAATGACTAAACAATTATGTGGTTTTGTTTTTTTAATTTCTAATGTGTTCTTAATCATAACTTTATTAGATTCTTGATTGACTTTAGGTTGCATATGTAAATATATATATTGGAAGCTTATATATATTCAGGATTATCATTGATGGGTTAGAGAAAAAAAAAAAAAAAAAAAAAAAACCAACTAGGAAACATGTGAAATTCAAAGGAAATTATGTTAGTGAGCCAATTTTTCATTCATCTTATTCTTTTCGACATTGGCGATCACATAAAAATCATTATATATATACGCAATATTTTGATTTAAATAGTGTGAAAAATCTTTTTCGAGATCACAGATAAATAAATGAGAATTAAAATATTGATTTGATAACATTATCAATAATAAGTGATTGCTGTTGATGGATCGTTTATATTCATACACCCTTTGCAGGATAGTTTAATCTTAAGTGCACCAGAATTTTTTGGAAATTATTAAAACTCCTTTATAGTTAGAGCAAACAACTGTTCCTACCTAAGGTTTAGCGAAATCCTGAATTCATACCTCATGTTGTATTTATTCTATATTCACACACTTAAACTAACACTATTTATAAATTTTGATTTCTAACTTATGCTATTACCATCCTACCCTTCACTTTACCTTTTATTCCCCCTTCCCCCCCAACAAAAAAAACACATCCACCATCACCATTCAGCGGCCGCCACCACCCAGCTACTGGCGTTTTTAGCCTTGTTCCGACTAGTTTTTCACCCAAAATCACCTCCAACCTCTTCCTTATAAGTTTGCGTCACAACATCTACCTTCTCCAACAGTGGTTGTAGTAAACTCCTATTAAGAAAATTAAATGTATGATACAACATTCACTGATAGTTTACTATAGTGAATTTTCGCGTTGCTAAGANTATATACGAGGCGGGATGGGGGAAAGGCATCACCCACCCCCGCCCCATCCCCGAGGACGGGGATTAAAACGCCCCCCACCCCCGAGGACGGGGATTAAAACGCCCCCCACCCCCGCCTCTATCCCCTAAAAAACCGGGGCTTCCCCGCCCTATATGGGGTGGGGAGGGACGGGTCCCCAGAATTCTGGGGAACATTGCCATGCTTACATTTTAAATCAGAATTTTAAGATATAAGGAGAGCATGCCAAATTATAATATTATTAAAGTTATATTACAGTATTAGATCTGTAATATTTAAATTCAGGGTTTTATTTCGTTTATTTCCTTGTAGGATTGTTTGATATAAACATACTCAAAACTTTTTCGTAAACCATAAAAAATCTCCCTCTGCTTATTAAATACCCCCTTAAATTATTATAAATCCCCCTGTTTCAAGTGGATTTTTAATAATTATAAGAGCAAACAAAATATTCTACTCGAGGTTTGGCAAAATCTTGAGTTCATATCCTAGTTGTATTTATTCCAAATTTACACCCTTAAACTAACACTGTTAATTAATTTTTAATTATGACTTAGTATTACCATCATATCCTTCACTTTTTATTTCCCCTCGACACAGCCACCATCACCGTTACCATCCAGCCAGCACCACCAACCAGACGCTGACGTTTTCAGCCTTGTTTTGGCTGGTTTTTCACCCAAAATCCTCCAAACCCCTTCACTGTTGCACTCTCCCATCATCAGAAAATGGCCTCCTTGGCGTTGCGTTTTCTTTCTTATTTGTGACCAAATTCCGGCTGATTCCCTTATTGAAAAGTCACCCCAAAGCCACCAATCAAATCCTTTCATCGCCTTTACAAAACCCTCATCGGTTGTTGTCACTCACTGTTTGTTGCCCAAGTTCCATTCCCATCGCCATGCGACAACTTTTTTTGTGCCCTTTTCCACCGTTTTCACCCCTTTTTTCTACCTTTTTGACCCCCCATCCTCCTGTTTGTTGCTTTGTTGTGGTTGTTGTGCATTCTTTGGGCACCGGTTATTATCCACTAGCCCATAATCTCCATTCAAAGTCACGCCCACCAGTTGTTTGAGGAAATTCCTCAACCAGCTGCCCAGCCAAGCACACGCCATTTTTCGATGATGGGAGGGTGCAACAATGAAGGGTTTTGGTGTAGGGGTTATACTCACGCAACCAATGTCGAGAAACACATAAAATGTCTTGAATATGACAATCGGAAATTCGTCAGGACATGATTGTCGAGGGCAATGTGTCCCAACGAGATTAGTGTATGGTTCCTCTATGCCAACGCGTCCTACGTCAGCCATGAGTAGATTTGATGGAAAGTAGTATTTCATTATAAATAGATGATTTTGTAAAGTTGATCACTCCAATTTTAAATAGTCTCTTTGACTCATAAATTGAATTAGTCCAAGTCTATATCTATTAGACTTAAATATGAATGTTGGGAAATTTCTCTACTTTGGATTGGTGAGCGGTGAAGTGAAAAATACACAAGAAAATAGTAGATTTGATGGGAAGACTTTAACACAAAATTCAACTGGTTGTTAAATCATTGAAACACATTCATTGACAAACTGCAATAGACCCCATAATTGACTGAAATTATAATAATTGGTTCCATTATCTCTAAGATCTTCATCTTCTTAATTTCTAAAACCTCATTATGAATTAGTTTTGCCATTGGGACCAGACTAATTAGCTTTTTCAATTTTCATCTTTTCAAATTTTTTTTTTTTTTTTTTCTGCCACTTGATCTTTATTTTTGATCTTTTGGAGAAATTGAAGTAAAAATATTATAAGAAAATTACTCTAATTGACTTGACTCAGGAGGCATGAATATGAAAGGCCAAATTAAACAAGAGAAATTACAATTAATGGAATTAGAATAGGTCTTAATTTCACTGTTCATTTCTAGGCATAACGTGTTTACAATTTTCTAAGATAAACTTTTGTTCAACCAACCGCCACTGGCAGTCTAATTCTAAGAGTAAAGGAGAATTTAATAGGATTTTCTAAGTTTGAGTCTTCTTGATGGTAAAAGAGTAAGACAAAAATCTAATATAGACTCTTAAGTTTGAGTCTCACGACCCCCAATGGAGGTGATCATTGGAGCTCTTATCCGACTTATAGGTTAAAGATCTTTGAGGATTAGTTGACGTGCACGCAAACTGGTCCGGACACCCCTGATCATTAAAAAAAAAAAAAATTTGTTCAACCCTCTTAATTAAGTTTGACAATTGACATAATTATAGTAATAGACATGACTCTAAAAGAGTGTCCATGTTCATACGTTAGAATTTTCAATTTTTTTACAAATGTCTTTAAGAAAATGTTTAATGCTAATTATTGGAATTTTAACTAAATTTTCTAAGGGAGACCAATGAAATTTTTATCTAAAAGATCAATTAATTTTCATTGAGTTGTCATCAAGGTAATATTAAATCTCTTTCATATGTTAAATTCTTTGTAATAAAACTATTTAGGTCTAGGATGGCCTCGTTACACTTTGACCTCCCAAATGCAATTTTCTGATTTCGTCACTGGATGATAACGTTAAATTTTAGAATTATTCAAACAAACCGAATTAATTGACTTTAGAGTTTTTTTCGTTCTGATCAAAACCACACGTTAACATATAAATTTGGTGGTATTAATAACGTTCTAAAGCATATGTTTCATTCAAGTATATTTCAAGACCAAACCACGTTCTACAAGACATGAAAATTAAGATTGCGTATGACTAAATCAAGGTCACATGCATGCTCTTGTACTAATATTGTTTATTCCAAAATAAAACGTGTTACAAACAAGAAAGAAAAACGTTAGGGACACTCCACGAACGCGATTAGGGATGACAATAAATCGGAGTCTTAGATGAATCGAATCTATATTCTATAAACAAAACAAAATATTCAATCAATGACAATNATGTTAGTCCTCCATGGAAGTTCTTGCTATTAGAAGTAATTACATTGCTATTGCAGGCAAATCTTTGGATAATACTTTTTAGCTATGTTGGCAATTACTTCTGGACCCACTATTTCTTCACAGTTTTGGGAGCTTCATATACGTTCCCATCATGGAAGATGAATAATGTAAGCCACTTACAAACATTACCCATATACATAAAACCTCAAATATGTATAGTCCTTCTATTGGTTTTTTATGCCAGTTTATTGATATTTGCTATTCTCTGTAGGTACCACACACGACTTTCCTTCTCACCCATGTCTGCTTTTTATTTTACCATGTTGCATCGAACTTAACACTTCGCAGAATACGGCATTCTGTTGCTGACTTGCCAGATAAAATTCGGTGGGCTGTGGAGGCTGGATGGATTTTGGCTCTTGCTTATTTCATTGCATACCTAGAGACTTTAGCCATTTCTAATGTATGTGCTAACATCGTTCTTTGTTTGTCATTTCTTTTTGGCCCCTTTGTTAACAAAACGATAGACCTTCGGAATTCTCTATGGCAACATATCAGTAGGGTGCCTTCAATAAATTAGAATGGTGCAGTTTATTTTTCTGATGATTTATGCTTCTCTCTTATTGTCTAGTGCACTCCTTAGTCTTATCAGAAGAATTTGGATATAATGAATTTTCTGATACTTCATAGATGATTCACCTTAATATTATAACTGAACCACTTAAATGAAATTAATAAAATCAAGCTATGGAATTGAATATTGTGTTTTCTGGGCTTTTTGGATTGATAAATATTTAAGTCTGCTGGATTGAATATTTCTCTTCTAAGTTTTTCTGGTAGTTTCCCCTACATTTCAAAGTTCTGTTGCGTGATTGCTAAGTATAGTGTTTAATTTGAGATGTTCCTACTAGAACTAACTTCCTTGGCCCTAATATTTCAATAAGGCCTTGTCTCTAATAGTTTGCTTGGAATATATGCAGTTCCCTTATTACGAGTTTGTGGACCGTGCATCCATGTATAAAGTTGGGTCTTTGTTTTATGCCATCTACTTCATTGTAAGCTTCCCAATGTTTCTAAGGTGAGAACCCAATCCAACTGGTTAATTTTGACTTTGTTTGTTTAGAAGAATATAGGACCATATTGAAATTCATAAGTTGCAGTGGTTAATGTTGTAATTATCTCGATTATGCTTTCTAGGCTCTAGCACTGTACTTATGCAATTAAGGGTATAATGTGACTCATGCGACGTTTTTGGGTGTGACCACTTTTATCATCTATCAATACTTTTCTTATTTTCTTGATGAGATTTCTCTCGTATGGTCAGAATTGATGAGAAACCCAGTGATCTTTGGGACTTACCCCGAGTTGCGGTAGATGCTCTGGGTGCGGCAATGCTGGTGACAATAATACTTGATTTGTGGCGAATCTTTCTTGGACCAATTGTTCCTCTGCCAGAAGCAAAGCAATGTCTTCAACCAGGGCTTCCATGGTTTCCAGGACAAACCAATCAAACTTGAAGTATGCTCGTGAAGACTGGAGGTTTTCACTCACTCATGGTCCCTCTTGATGATTGCTTGTACTTAAATCTTTTTGACTTCTACGTTTCTGAATATTGATTGGAGGTGTTACTTTCTTGATAGTTGTTGTAGTGAAGTGGTCTGATTGAGTATTTGCTCTCATGCGTTTTGATTGGTGATTAGTGTTAGTATCTCAACAAATTAAGAAAATCCTAGATTAGTATAAACTAAAGCTCTAATGGCGGTTTCCTTTTCGAACTAAACTAAAGTAAATTAGAGAAGAGTAATTGTGGAGACAATCTTTACTGTGTTTACAGTTTGGAAGCATCTTTCTAGGTTTTGTGATTTTCAACTGTAATAGGACTGAGGGTGTCTTTTAAATGATAAAATGTGTTGCATTATATATATTTAAAATTATTTGATTGAAATAGAAATATAAATTATTATTATTATTTTTTGGGTTTTGAAAGAGAGTTAAAAAGGTGTACAATACTTAAGAATTATTTCATATATGAAGAAAGTGGTTTTCAAAGTTAAAATGAACATAAAAATATTGCTAAAAAGAAATAATTTATTTATTTATTTATTGGGGGTGTCTATGCCAGTTTACGAGTATCTTGATTAGTCCTCCAACCTTGAACACGACTTCTGAAACAGGGCAAGTCTTACGGTCCGTGGCCAACAATATTAACAATTATTTTTATGATTCGAACTTAAGAGCACAAGGAGAGCAAATCTTTAAGCCTTAAATCTTTATCACTCGGTCTGTTGATTAAAAAAAAAAAAATTATTTAAAAATATTAAAAATTAAATTAAGGTTTTATAAAATTATGATAATCATAAATAAGTGGTAGCACAATTGATATGCATTTTATTTAATAGATTTTTCCTTTGAGAAAAGGAAGAAATAAATTTATTTATTTGTTTATCAATCATAATTCAAATATTTTTCACACGTGTGGGATGATGTCGGCTTTTTAGACACGTGCGTGTGTTTATCTAATACCCAGTTACCCACTGCTGGAAAATGATAAGAAAGAACGAAAGATATTTAATTTCTCAACCTCTCATAAATATCCCCTTCACTCTCTCCGTTTCCCGCTCCAACCTCAATCACTCAACCATCTCTAAAACATAAACCCTACCCAAACGAATTCAAATTTCTAGGGTTTTATTTCACAATTTTGATTCTTAACACATGCAGTTAGGTTTATTAGGGAGTTTCTCTTTCTCTTATTCACTCTACTTGGCTTCTTGTACGCCAGCTAAAGTACAGCCAGTAATGGCGGCTACTAGTGCTCTTTCCCTTACTCCCTACACTTTCTCCTGCAATCCAAGGCATAGAAAACGTTCAATTTTTTGCTCTATTGGCTCTCCTAACACTATAGGTATGAATATGAAATTTGGCAGTTCCATTATTCTTCACTTGGAGGAAGAATTTCCAAAGAATATGTATCGTGATGATTCCTTTCTTAATCACTTATATAATTGCTTTCTTTGGTTTTTTTTTTTCTTTTAAATATAATGAAAGCAGAAAAAAAATGTATTTATCTTGTTCTGTTTTTTAATGATTTATGTTCTGGTTTGGTTGCTGGGAAAATGAGGAAAAGACAATAAAATAAAGAATTTTGAAGCTTTACCGCCAGCAAAAACTGAAAACATTCGGAATTGAATTTGAAGGTTGAAATTATTGAGAAAAATAATTATTACTAGTATGGTAGGGTCCCTTGTATTTGTAGTTCATAAATCTTTGGGACTGCACTTTTTGATAAATCTTCAGTTTAGTTGTATGCTTATCACTGCGCATGTTGCCTACGTTTGCTTTATTAAAAACCTGCTTTTTTATTTATTATTTCTATCATCATTGTATAAAAAATTTTGTGGTAGTATAATAAAAAAATAAATTTGATGGTTGTTAATCTGTTTGGCCTCATTCCAGGTACACATGGATCTAAAGTTCCAAGTAAAAGATCAGGAAGAACTGAAGGGGCTAGAAAAAGTATGGAAGATTCTGTTCAACGCAAGATGGAACAGTTTTATGAAGGGTCTAATGGCCCACCGCTCCGTGTTCTTCCAATTGGTGGTCTTGGTGAAATTGGGATGAACTGCATGCTTGTGGGGAACTATGATCGCTATATTCTAATTGATGCAGGTGTCATGTTTCCAGAGTAAGTATTTAGCCACAGTTTGTACTCCAAAGGGATTGTATCTTATCCCAGGATACTGCCAATTGGAGAGAATAACTTTGTTTGGTGGTTTCTTTCCCCAAAACTAGTTCTACTGGGAGTATAGTTAGTTGCTTCTTGAAGATTTTTTTTTTTTAAGTTTTCAATTGTTAATATATATTGACCAGGACTGGTGAATATATCAACTAGATCTAAGAACCTCTAAATGATTGCATTAGTGAAGAGGAAACGATTGATAATTGTTATTGACCTTTTGCAGTACGCTTATAAAAATCAGGTTCTCCCTTTTTCTTTTCATATGTTGATTTTTTTCTGTGTGTTTGATATGCATTCAGCTATGATGAGCTTGGCGTCCAAAAGATTATACCTGATACCACATTTATCAAAAGATGGAGCCACAAAATTGAAGCAGTTATCATAACTCATGGCCATGAAGATCACATTGGTGCGTTGCCCTGGGTAAAGTTTCCTACTACTTGAACAAATGATTGGAAACTGGCAGGTTGATGCCAGCGTTTTTAGTTTGAGATCTTTAAGCTTGTTTAGGGGGTGAGGGGTTAGGAAAGAAAGATTTCAATTAAGTTAATTGAACTTGCTACAGGTAGTTGCATTTTCCACTTTGGTGTTTGTTCAAGGAAAAAGGAATTGAAAATTATATAACTTGTTGTTCAAAAACATGTATTAGCCCAAATTGTTTAGCTTCTAGCTCTTTTTATCTATTTCCAGTTTAAAATTTTCATGAAATTTCTTGAAATGCCTCAATTTTTATTTGCAGCTGGGATTCTTTGTGATGATGTAGTTGAACAGGGAATTGTCCTCTTAAAAATACATGCAAAGTATCTGTGTTGAACATCTTTTATAAACCCTAGCATTCTCCGTTCTTGATGCATGCCTCAATGTTTTCTGGTAACTATAAAAAAAAGTATTTTGTTTCTGTTAAGAGAGCAAAATAATCTTTCTGAATGATAAAATGTCAATATGCCAGACCATAGCAACTTGTAAACCTATTATTATTATTTCTATTTTAATAAGAGACTGAAAAGTATTTGTTGATAACGAAGAAGAAAATACAATTGTGTACCCAACGTCCACCTGAATATGATGTCATCAGTTCATTGTAGGATAAGAATCAAAATGGGTACCAATCACTAGGACTAAGTACAGTGCACTAGTTTGGAGTTTAGTAATTTTACTTCATTCTGATCTAGGTTTTTCTATGGAAACCATGAATGTTGATGTGACATTTCCATGGAGATGTATAGGAGCCATAGAAGTATATATGGCCAAGCTGCATTATTTGATTTAGATTACTGAATTATTACAAAGTACTTGTCATGATGGTTTAATTAAATTTCTCTCATTTATTTCGATTGTTACAAAATTTAAATAATTTTCATTGCTTACTGAACAGGTGATCCCAGCTTTGGATTCACATACACCGATATATGCATCTTCATTCACAATGGAGGTACTTGTCATGTTTATTACATATATGCACACATATTCATGTGTTCATAGATAGATGCTCCATAAACACATCCACTCCTCACTTCACGAACTTGCTATGTCTCAGCCAATAATGTTTCTTCTATAGGCAACAAAAAAGTTACCTTGTAAATTCATATTAATTTTGATGTGAAGAATCAAAGTCTATTACAAGTAACTGTCTGGCTTGGGTAGCTCTTGAGACTCTTTCTTTCTTTACTATTATATATTAAATATTTCTGTACTTATACCAAAACCCCTGTATCTCCATTTGTTTGATCATGATGCCTTTCTGTTTCGTTCTTTATTTCAATATTTTGATTGTCTATCATGATTTGGACTAGTTAAACCTCTTGTCTTAACAGCTTATCAGAAAGCGTTTGAAGGAGAATGGGATTTTTGTTCCATCTAGACTTAAAGTGTTTAAAACAAGGAGAAGATTTACGGCCGGCCCATTTGAAATAGAGCCTATCAGAGTGACACATTCTATTCCTGATTGTTGTGGATTAGTTCTTCGCTGTGCTGATGGTACAATTCTTCATACTGGGGATTGGAAGGTAAGTTTATCTAATCTTCTCATTTTCTTACCTACTATTAGTACAAGTCTCACACTTACAAGAATTTCGCTTTCAACAGATTGATGAATCACCATTGGATGGGAAAGTTTTTGACCGTGAAGCTTTAGAGCAACTCTCGAAAGAAGGAGTGACACTGGTAAGCCTCCTAGATTCATGTTCTAGATATTTATGTTGACACAAGCAAAGTTGCTCTGGTTTTGGGGGAGAGACAGCTGATCTTCGGTTCTTTAGGAAACATAAATTATGTTATCTGTTTGTTTATGATGCAAAAGTAGATCGAAGATGTAATTAGTGAAAATTTTGGGTAAAGATAGTTTTGTATGGTCAACATCCTCTTGGCAAAAGATTTTCACCAAAATCTTGTAGGATAAGTTTTTCTTTAAATCATTGGCTATTATTAAAAATCATTCTATTCAGGATCCATTTATGATCTTTCTTGAGCAAAACATGTCTTGAATTAAATGTTTGTGGCTGGGACTGGCTTCCAATGCCTTGATTCTCTTAATTTTACTCTTTGTGCCCTTAAGAGGTTACTTTATACTTGGCCTTGTTCTTCTCTTTTCAATAAATTCTGTCATATTGAAACAAAGATGTCACATGTTTTTGCCTATATGGGTATATATCTATGCATTGTGTATTTATAACTTCATGATGAAGATGAGCAAACTTGACATTTAATATCCAACTTCTTTCAGATGATGAGTGATTCAACAAATGTACTGTCACCTGGAAGGACAACTAGTGAAAGTGTTGTAAGGGATGCATTAATGAAGCATATTTCAGCTGCTAAAGGAAGGGTTATTACTACCCAGTTTGCATCAAATATACACCGCCTTGGAAGTGTTAAATCTGCTGCTGATTTAACTGGTAGAAAGCTAGTATTTGTTGGCATGTCCCTTAGGACATATCTGGATGCTGCTTGGAAGGATGGAAAGGCACCAATTGATCCGTCAACTCTGGTAACAATATTTTGAATTCTGCTTGTCCTTTGCCTATATTTTAAGGAAACCTTCAGATAGCTTCATATTTGTTCTGTTATCTGGTTGAGAGACTGCTTTTACCCATACACTATATATGTTGTTGGGCAAAATTTAGCTTAATTTCAGTTCAACTGAATCTTAAAGCTCTTCCTCAGTGGGTTAATATGTGAATAATTCTTCACCTTTTTACTCCTACAGGGCCATATCCTCACTTAACTCATATGTGTTAGTTTTATTTTTTGGCTCCTCCTGCTTCCTTATTTCCATTCTTTGGTCTTTTGGTTGGACCATACTACCTAAATCTACTTATGTTTTCCTCTTCTCAGTTAGTGTGATTTGTAGTTTCTCATTTGCGTATAACTAACTGTCTTGGTGCTGCTAATTGATTGAGATGGATATTTATGTATATTAGCATGCAGTAGCCTGTAGCTTTTGTTATAATCCTTTTCTCACTGAGATATTAGATCATCCACTCCAAATACCCCTCTGCCTTCTATCTCACTCTTCTCACTTTGGCCTTCTGCCTCTTATCCAACATGTCTTTTGTATGCAAAGCATTGGCTGCCTTATGCTCAATACCTCTTATATGATCTCTAGAGATCCAACTGGTAGGATTAGCTAGAACCCTCCATTTTGCCTGTCTTCTTGATTTTGCTTATTTCTTGATCAGACAATGCTGCAAAAACACAAGTTTATCACACTGACTATGGTCAGGACTCCCTTTCATCTGCTTAGGCATTATATGCTGTGTCTTTTAGTATGCTTGTAGATTCTCAGGACAATTCTTTTGAAAACTAAAGTCTGGATCTGTCTTCCATAGACTTTCTAGATAAAAAGTGATTCCTTTTTCCGTGTGCTATTTCTCTGGCATATCTATCCGTATTGGTCAATATTAATCATAATTAAGAATTCTAATCTATGTGATGGCATATTCCCGTCTTGCTTCTATTGAGAAATATATTAGTTTTATGATATCATCTACTCTTGGCCTGTCTTGATATTATATAGGTGAAAGTGGAAGATATTGATAGCTTTGCTCCGAAAGATTTGCTGATTGTTACAACTGGTTCACAAGTAAGTTAATCTTGATTACTATAGTGCTGCTTTGTTGCATGCATTACTGTCTTTATTATTGGGCTATCTTGTTGGCATGTAACCGTGCTTGCTATTGTGTCAGGCAGAACCACGTGCTGCCCTCAATCTTGCGTCCTATGGAGGAAGTCATTCCCTTAAACTGACCAAGGAAGATATTATTTTGTATTCAGCTAAGGTAAAAGATGTTGTGGTAAATATTTATTTCAATTTAACTGGATACATGTTGATGAATTAAAATCAAATGATCAAACATCATATTCTGATTGCTAATGTTTTAGCTTGTTGTGACCTGCCCCTCTATAGGCTTCATTTTGTAACTTTCATAAAATAGCTTTCAACAAGTTCTTGTTCGGGTTAAGTATTATTTAACTTTCATCTTTTCCATTGATGATTACTGCAATTGATTTACTGGAAGCAATGTGTTTTCTTGAAGTTGTCCAAGGTTCTGTTGCCTGATGTTTGGGAGTATTGCTGTTTTAAGGATTATAAACAGTTTCTTGCCGCAATCTATTAGATTTTGAGACTTTTTGGTTGGTTGTATTATTATCTTCAGGTGATCCCTGGTAATGAATCTCGTGTAATGAAAATGCTAAATCGCATATCCGAGATTGGATCAACTATAGTAATGGGTCGGAATGAAGGGCTACATACATCTGGCCATGGTTATCGTGGTGAACTTGTGAGATTTCGTATTCATTTTGTATAGTTTTTTTTCTTATTATAGTTTATTTTCTTTTTCTCATGTAATCAAACTATTTAGAATGATATGAATAGTAATTGTTTATAGTACGATTCTAATCATGCAATTTCTATTTGAAGGAGGAAGTTCTTAAAATAGTAAAGCCACAACATTTTTTACCCATACATGGAGAACTGTTGTTTCTAAAAGAGCATGAACTCCTTGGGAGATCAACTGGCATTCGACATAGTACAGTGAGTCCATGTTTCCTTTTCATGTGATATGATTTTGGCGATTTCATATAATAACTGAGAATTTGTATTACATCCTTGTATGTTTTGTCAATTGGTTATTTAGTGCATTTCAATGGGTCTTCTTGTCCCTTAACCAAATATTTGTAACAATGTGACAAAAAATCTGTTCTGTCTAATTGCATTGGTACATGATTCACTTACAAGGATATATATACTGTGATTTTCTTTTGACATTTTCATGTGAAATGTTCAAAATGGCAAATATGTTACTAAAGTATGGTACCTGAAATGTAATTCATGCAATCATATCAGGTTATAAAGAATGGAGAGATGCTTGGTGTTTCTCACTTGAGGAATAGAAGAGTACTTTCTAACGGTTTTATTTCTCTTGGGAAGGAGAATTTGCAGGTAAGTAGCTATTTGAAGTTTCATTGTCTATTATGAGATAGTAACTGGCAAAACTACTTATAACTTTTTTATTTTATGTTGCAGTTGATGTATAGTGATGGTGATAAAGCATTTGGCACATCTACCGAACTCTGCATTGATGAGAGACTAAGAATTGCTACAGATGGTGTTATTGTGGTCAGGTAGATCTTTTAATCTTTAAATAATTACACATCTTTGTTGTATGTAAAATTCATCTTGACAATGCTCCACTGCAGCATGGAAGTTTTACGTCCTCAAGAGAGTCTAAATGAATATAGCTTGAAAGGAAAAATAAGACTTACTACACGTTGCCTGTGGCTTGACAAAGGGAAGCTTTTAGATGCAATGTACAAAGCTGCCCATGCTGCACTTTCAAGCTGCCCTGTTAGGTGTCCTTTAGCTCACATGGAAAAAACTGTCTCTGAGGTGTTGAGGAAGATGGTGAGGAAGTACAGTGGTAAAAGACCTGAAGTCATTGCCATTGCTGTAGAAAATCCAACTGGAGTTATCTCAGACGAGCTCAATGCAAGGCTATCTGGCAATTCTCAGTTGGTTTTGGTCTCCCACATTGAGAAAAGTGGTTGATGCTCCAAAAGAAGTCCTTTCAATAATTCAAGCAGAAGGGCGGCAATGCACAGCACCAAAATTTTGAAGGTTTCTATACATTTCTTTCTCTGTGTTAATGTGTGTGCATGTTGAAGAAATATTTCTGCATCTGCATGTCTGTTTGTCTCTTGTTTACGGTTGGGGGTTGTCACCACACCACAAATCAGATGAAGAGATAAAAAGCAATCCTTCCCCATTCCCTTTTAGGGAGAAATACTAGATTTTTACCAGTTATTACATTAAAATACCCCTCAGGAGTGCCTGTCATGGTTGACCGTAAGTGTTTATTACTGAATCACTGAGAAACATAGGGGACAGAAAACTGCTTGGTATTAAACTTGGTTTGATGAGATGTGAGGAGATGAGTAGACAGCTTTCTATCTGTGCTTTACTGCTGATAAAATTTCAAAATTGCATATTGCCCAATGTTAGAAACCCTAAAGGCCACATGAAACAAGTGAGATAATATAGATAGCAATGACAGATGATTGAATTGCTTCTTGGGAGATCATTGCAGTTAGGGAAGCAGGGAGGCATCTTCAGGAAACATATGGGGGTGCCCGTCATTAATTTCGGCAGAAATTAGCTAGAGAATTTGTGTTCTGGTTCAAAAAGTTCATTTCACATCAGTACTTTTTCATGGTTTTCAAAATTAAACTATTTTTTGGGCTGTTATAAGTATTTTAGCAAATTTGTAGGCATGGTCTATAGGATTGTTTAATATTAGTGACACTGATTGGAGATTCAGATCTTCTGTTGTTATTTCATTTTTAATTGCGAGTCCTTTTTCGTGCCCATTGATACAATTCATGATTTCGTGCTGAAACCAACATTAATAGAATAATGGAAGTTAAGATCTGCCAGAGTATGAAAGAACTAAAATGAATGAAGCCTAAATGAAACCAACTTTGTTGGTGCTACATGTGAAGAGAAAGAACTGCCCTTGCAGTGAGAATGTTTAATTTTCATGCATGTCTTGTAGAAATTCATTGGTCACTTTCTGGTTACGTGGATATTTTCAATGTGCACGAATTTCAGGGATTTCTTTTTGGCCTATGACTATTCCAATACACCTTTGGGCTGATAAATTATTTGCATAAGATTTTTATTTGAAGCAAATGTTTTAATTGTATGTCCTTTTCCATCGTTATTCATTCTTGCAGCGAATCGTAGTGAATTTGAAGATCTACTTCCAGAGGAAAACACCACTATTTCAAGTTCCAACTTTATTGAAAGACTTCCTTCTGATTCCGAGAATTCAGATGATTTCTGGAAACCATTCACCACATCATCTTCACCAATTGACAATTTGGTAAAAGAAGATGGTTTGGTTCCACAAGAGGAGCAGATATTAAGTCTTGAAAAAGATGATTCTGAAGGCAGTGAAGATGAATCCTCAGAGAAGCGAAGTTCCCAGCGGAAGTCTTCCAAGACGATGAAACGGAACAAATGGAAACCTGAGGAGGTGAAGAAACTCATTAAAATGCGTGGGGAATTGCGTAGTAGATTTCAAGTTGTGAAGGGGAGAATGGCTCTCTGGAAAGAAATATCAACACATTTAATGAATGAGGGGTTTAATCGCACACCTGGCCAGTGCAAATCCCTATGGGCATCTCTGCTACAGAAATACGAGGTTCGTTCCTTCAGTGCATGTGTATGTGTGTGATAGTATTCTGGGCTTTTTTATGCCCTCTATTATTCTTGTAGTACCTTGCTTGAGTGAATATCCAATGCATCTCGAATTTATCATTTAACCTATTCATTTATTTGAAAACAGGAAAGCAAGAGTGAGAAGAAAAGCCAAAAGAGTTGGCCATTCTTTGAAGACATGAATAAAATTTTATCAGACTCTGAGCTGATGACAACAGAATGATTGAAGATGGAGGATAAGAACAATGTGTACTGAATTATTTATCTTAAAAGTTTGGCTTGGCCACATTGTTTGTATCACAGGTTCAGCTTGTAGAAGCAGTGTAGTAAAGTTGGAAGAATGATAAAGGAGAAATGGATTTGTTTCAAAATTCAAAGCCAGAGAGGCCTGCCTGTGAATTGGGTAACCCTCCCCATATACACGCAATGACAGACGAGGTTGATTAAGTTTTGTAGTTATAGAACCTTTATGTAAATTGGTTTCTCTCTCTATCCTATTTATTTATTATTATTAATTTTTCTTTTTAGTCCTTAAATAGTTAAATCTCCAAATTTCTTCTACCAAATTTTGACAAAGAGACTCTCGCCATCACTTGGTAGTAGGGATGTAAAAAAGCCCGCCGGGGTATGTAAAAGAAATCTTGTAAAATTATTATAGGCCTTATATAAAATTACAACAGCCCCTGAAAAGTTTTCAAAAGCCCCTTCAAATCAGTGTTTTAAAACTCGGCTTGGCTGGCCGATTGAACCGTTCAATTGGGACTTGGGGCTTTCACCTAGTTGGGTTGCCCATTTATTTATTTATTTATCGAAAACCTTAGAAATCTGGATGATGATTGGTGAATAATTGAAGGTTGACATGTTAGGATTTTTTAAGAAAAAGTGTCGGTGAGTGGAATGGTGGCGACAGAGGTGATTTCCAATGAGTGAATCGATTGGAAATCGAAAAAAAATTGGTGGCAACAACAGATTGATTTTGCTGGCAATAGCATAGCGAACGGGGATGGGGTGAGATGGGATTTGGTCAAGAGGTTGAGGGGAGTATTTTTGTGGTGATGGGGAGGGGTTGTCGATGCTAGCAGTGGTGAGATCTGGCTTGGAATGTTAACGTCGACGTTAGTGAGATCTGGTCAAAATAGAACTTATTTCAACCAGATCTTGGGTCGATTTTATGGGGAATAGAGATGATTGGGATTGCATTTGGCGTGTCGTCACCACCAACCAGTCGATCGCCAATTTGTATTTGGGGTGTGTTTGTTAAATTTCAAACCTGTAAGGATTTAATTGTTATTTTTAGGGGTGTATTTGTTAAATTTTAAACTCGTTGAGACTCGGTTTGGCCTGACCCGACAAAGTCAACTTTGTCGAGTTTCACCTTAGGTTGGTTATTAAAACATTGCTTCAAATTACAGCTATCTCTATAATATAAAATTAATTACAGTAAAATATCTCTATATTGATAATGACAGGGTCAAATTAATTTATTACTATCAGGAGATTATAACTTAATAAATGTGTAGTTACAAAAATTACTATTTTAATTTATTATTTTATAATTCACGTTTTAGTAGTATGTATTAAGATTTCAATTTATTGTTTTAGTAGTATTAAATTTTCTTGTTTACTTTTAATATTACTTGTTTTTTTTTAATCTTATAATTCATGTTATAGATAAATATTTTATTTCTCTTAAACCTTTAATATGACATAGTATATATATATATATTTTTTTTTTGCAATATACAGATATTTATGTATTACTTTGCAGAGATAACTTTCTTAAAATGAGATTAGAAAAATTATAACTTATTACAATGTGGAATTTATTCTTATTTATAACTATTCTAAGTTAAGAATAAAATTTTTTATGACTACATAAAGGTTATTCTTATATATAATATCACTATAGAGAGGTTTTACTGCACTTACTTCATGTCCTATCTATTAGGTAAAATTTTAGAAAATCTTTGTCTTCGTATCAACCCAACCCCGATGAGTTAAAAATGGAGGAGGAAAACTAGAAAAGTGTGAAAAATAAAAGAAAATAACATTTATGATGAATTTTAACAATAGTCTTTATAAATGTTTTTATTTTTTCTTGAATTATGATTTTGAAATTTATATATATTTTTAACTGACAAAAAGTGGTTAAGGACTTATTATATGCAATTGTTGCACAAGAGTGGCAAGCTGCATCCTAATCATCCTTTAGTCCTATCATATCATCCAACCAAGCTTTTATGTTGTTAGTAGATTAAGAATAACAGATATCCTAATTCAATCCCAAAATCATATCAAAAGTCATTATTGTAGTCGTATTTTCACTTAAACAAACTACAATAAAGGTCACAACATAATTACCTCATTTTTGTCAATCAAAAGCACATACCACCGTCCTCTTCAATTCCAATAGAAATAATGAATGAAGAGAGAAATATTTTCGTAAGAGAGTTGAGAGGAGAGTTTTTCATCAATGAAAAACTCTTGTATGCCTGCTGTAAAATAGTGGTAACTGCCAACGTAATAATATAATTGGGTGGGTCCCATCATGGGTGTCCCACCCATATCTAATATCTCTCACTCACACATGACGAGACTATTTCTTTTTGTGCTTCTTCAAGGTTTATACTTTAGTAAATATGTCGTGTGACCATCCATACATCGAGAGCACATCAATCATATATCTATTAGGAATATATAACTTCTTGAATTGTGAAACTTGTGTTGTATATTGTATGCAATATCCTAGATTACTTATCACATCTTTTTCTAACAATCTCATTTATAATAAACATTTGTTGTACTCATAATTATCTTTTATCCTTACATAAAAGAACAAAACATAATTGGTTAAACAATGAATACACATGATTATAGTGTGATAATCCAAAAAATTGTAATCTTCCTCTTTCTTGATTCTTACAACTTTCATTTGATTTGTTTTTCCAGAAATGTCCCAACAAATTGAATCTATCTTAATCTTTTGGCAACACTCTAAGATAACAATCATTAAATAAGGTTTTCAAGAACCAGAATAGAGTAATAAGGGTACTCTATGAGATTTTATTCTTATAATCTTAGGGTCTCACAATGTTAAAGTTGAGATTTTGACTTTCATTATCCTTTTGGTCAATATTTTTGCACATGTAATATGAATAACATGCTACAACATTTCCTTCTTTCCCATGGAGTGCATGTCTCTTTTTTCTTGTAAATGCCATACAAATTTTAGTTCAGACATATCTAATGTCTAACTTGAGTTCACTTTACATACTTTTAATTCATCAGAACTCTAATTGTTGTGTCGTTTGAAACAACTACTAGCAAGTGCACTAGTCTCAAGTAATATAGTGTAACAAAATACAAGTTATCATACCCAAGGGATTGCGTAAACAAGTACTAAAACGTTAATTAGTCTTAACTTTATCTAGATAATCAGAACTTAGAATGGTGATCTTTAAAACTAAAAATATTAAAAGTTGAAATATTAGAATTAAACAATTGCAGTAAAACTAAACTTAAGAATTTAATGAGAGAAAATGACTAAGACTTCAGGCTCACCTATAACTTCTTTACACCCCTCAATTTACTCTGGTCAATGAATTTATTTAATTAATGTGACGACGAGATTTCTTAGATTAACCAATATTCTTTCTTAAGCAATATTAATTATACTTCTATCTCACAACCTAGATATCTCTATATAGATTTAATGAAATAGAGGAGCATTAAGCTTTATGAAATCCTATAGCTTTCAGCACAAGTTAATCCCGCCTATGACTATTGCATGTATCAATTCATATATCTCTATATCCAATTAATCCATGGCCTATATTACTAGAGCACTCATGTGATGTCTCCTCTCGGTCTCAATCACACAAAACAATTCTATCAGAAATTGATCAGGTTCCTAATAACATTAAACACATAATATAAGCTCATCATTAGAAAAATAATTCACTGACCATAGAGTATAAGATTGATCACAGATCCATAAATAGACTAACCCTAGTCTTAGCCTGAGAAAATTAGTTCATAATAAAAGAAATAAGAGCAGAATTCAAGAAATAAATCATATTGAAAAAGTAAAGACAAACTCTGTAATGAATTTTGTTCTTGATTCTCTTTATTCTTTTGTTACACAATAATCTCTCTCCAAGAATAGGCAAAATTTGGCCTCCCAAGAAGTAATCTTAATCACACTTGAATACCCAAAAGAGTCCTAAACAAACAAGGAAAGGAAAAAAAAACCCTAAAAGTGTCCGACACGGCCCTAGCTGTGTCCAAATATATGTCACCACGGCCTAGGCCATGGTGCTTCCTGTCCTCAATATTTTATCCTCATTCCACCACCATGGCCATGGTGAACCACCAAGGCAAGGCCATGGCCTTCAAAATTGTCAGCTATCTCAATTTTTTCAAGCTTTGAATCACAATTTCATTCCAGTGCTCCAATCTACTCAATTAACACCTAAAAATCACAAAAATTTCTCCCAATCAATAGCTGACCATTCACATCTCAAACTTACCAAAAACTAACATCAAAACAAAGAAAACAAATGAGAAGTTAACTAGAAGACTATAAAAACAAACCTAAAAACACTAAATTTATGCAACTTATCACTAATTTGGCAATTAAACAGATATAGTAATACATTTTGATAATTTATCACTAATTGTCATACTTCATTATGACATTATTTTTATTCTGTTTTAGGCGACTTTAAATATTTTAAGTTTTGCTCTCTATTATCACCTAGATAATAAGCTTAAAATTGTCTCATCTCCATTCCCACAAATTAATAGAGGTGATTGCCGGTTTGAGAAGACCAATCTTTTAACTGTTCGACATGCTCTTCAAAATAAATAAATATATATATATGCTCCATAATAAACGAAATTGAGCATTGACAATATTGTTATTTAATATTGATAAGATCAATGTGAACATTTTTGGGAAATCTCAAAGTATGAGTACATTCAACATCAACGTAAGCCTAGAGATCTGATATGTCTATTAAATGTATCCCTTAGTATAGGTTTGTAAATGAATTCGCAACCATGTCATGTGTAGATATGTACTTCATGTTCACCTCTTTTTGTGCCAACAAATCTCACACAAAATTGTATTTTATATCTATTTGTTTTGTTTTACCATGATATTTGGGATCCTTAGTGTATGCTATTACTACTTGATAGTCACAGTTTACTCTCACTGGTTCAATAGCAACATTAATTATTCCCAGATATTCATAAACCATCTCAACCAAACAGGCTTCTTGCACTGTAGCTGAAAATGCTACAAACTCAGCCTCCATTTTTGATAAGGCTATACATGATTGTTTCTTACTGCTCTAAGATATAGCCTTGCCATTTAGTAAGAAAACATATCCGGAAGTAGATTTTCTTTCATCTAAATCTCCTCCCCAATCAGCATCGATATAGCCTTTGAAGTGTAAATTATTTCCTTGATAACATAATGAGTAATTAGCTATTT